AACCCACACACAGACGCAGAATGGACTCTTATGTAAACACTCTGCACTTTGTGCGCGGTCATAACGCGCTAACCGAGGTTCTTCTGGTCGCTGCGCTGCGCTGATCGCTCGAGCATGCGAAATGTTTCAATGAAAACACAAACGTTCGCAAGGAAAACAAGTGAGAAATCCGGCTAAGGAAAACAAACGACGGCTGCAACAGCTAAAAAGTAAATTTTTAGACTTTGTTTTTCTTATTCTTATGTATTTTGCTTTCGTGTGGCCGCTATTTACGGTAGAAGGCGTTAAGATAGCAGAAGATAGCTGAAAATTTTAATATTCCTCTCGACTTTCATCCTTTGTTATTTTGCTGCGTTAAACTCTGTTTATTTTCGTTTGCCATATTTTTACTTCATGAGCAAGAAATCTGAGATATTTTATTGTGGAATCATACACAAATTGAACACATGCATCTGTAGAATGTTTTCGGGATTTCATTTTTTTATCGGCTATGAATCCGCTGAACTTAATTAATAGAATTTTTTCCAATTTTTAAATTTGAAGACAAATATATTTATTTTAGAGTCTAACTTCGAAACACAGAGAAATATTGTTTTTTTTTTTTTTCTGATAACTCATTCTCTGCTGTTGTTATAACGAGTATCTAATCCCCATTAGGATGGTAAATATTAGATAAGTTGACAACGAGGTCATTAAACGGCAGGCCCAGAAAACGCGCTGTTTCGACAGGGTCGGACCATAGGGGCAGGAATGTCCGATGTGTAGGGTAGTGTGATGCGGGGACTCTTTGCACGGTGGACATATGTATGTATGATATGGTAGGATCTATTCTAGATAAGTAGGAGCTTAACCTGTTACAGTATCCAGAACAAAGCTGCACAAGGATCACCAATGAAAAGGTTTATTTGACCTGTTTTACAACTTTTTCGCACAGGAATTGATTGATCAATTAACAGACCTTCGTTCGATTAAAGCGCTAGTTTTGATCAATTTGCCGTACAAAATGAACTTTTTTTCTGCATAAATTCTTAAACGAATTTAAACTATAATGCAATCGGTGGGTTGTTGTCTAAACCGTAAATTTGGCTGTGTTTAACTCTGCCGGTTGTTGTCCAGGCTGTAAATTTGGTTGTGTGCATTGATAAACACCATAAAATCAGATAATGAGTTTTAATCATTAGAAAAAATACAAGATAACAGCTTATCGTTAACTGAGTAGCCGGCTGTGCGAAACTCAAAAACTGGTTTCTCAATTATAATTTTAATTTAATGAATTAATTTGGCTATGCGAAAAGGCTAATGCAATGTTAATAATTAATACTAAATTACATCTAATAATTTCTCGCCTCTGATCTATCTGCAAATTATATAGAGCAGAGGTTTTCTAAATGCCCAGTTACGGAACTAAATTCACCAGCTGATGTTTATAAAATCTAAAATCATCAGTTTATATATATTTAACTGAACCGCATGTATGTCTACCGAACTGTACATTTACATTCCACACTGACGCAGAAAAATATCGGAGCCTTACAAGTTCTGGTTATTGTCTTAACTCTTTACGAGCTCAAGAAAGGTTCATAGATTTAGCGTTCAACGGAATTTCGATTGGTTAGCGATCTAATGTAATCTAAGCAAGATAAAGATATTCTTTCTAGTAAACTCGGTTCTGCAGATTCCACAGTGACAAGGTGCAAGTAAAATAATAAGTAGTAAAGAGGTCACAAAATCATTCGCTGATGAGCTACGTACATAGTAGTGATCAAATAGGACAGCTTAGGCCTTGTTGAATCTCGCGTTAATGTAAAGTATTTTGATATCAAAATTATTAAATTAATTCAAGTGCTGGACTATTTAGAACCGTTTACTTTACAATGCATTCAGAAATAATATTTTAAACTTAAACTTCTACGTTCCACTGCACACTTATGTTATATGGTATACATATTCACCCAGACGAATGCACTTATTCCATTACTATCGTTTTTTTTTCATATTTTAGTATCATGCCTTGGATATTGGAGTGAATTTTTAAATTGACAGACATAGAACATATTAAAGTAAGTAAAATTTTTTTCAAATTGTTTGTCAAAAATCGTCCTCCCAGTTTCTTTCATTTAATGAATGTTTTCTATGACTACTGTATATTTCCTTAAGGTTTCAGAACTTTATGACAAAATTTAAGAGGCTTTCACAACGTCGCAATCCATATGTAATCTGTACAAAATCCTTTATTGAAGTCTTGAGTAGGATCGCCACCTTTGCAATATTTATTATCAATCAAATTTTAGACGTTAAGTTAGGTTAGGTGATCAGACTAATATTTCCAAAGTCAGCAATGATCCTACAACCAGAAATTCGAAATTTTCGATGACTCGAAGCAGCATTTCGGCTATGGAGCGCAAAATATTGTCTTCGAGCTTGGCTGGTTTGTTTGCGTATGCCTTTTCTTTAACATACGCCCAGAGAAAGTATTGTAGAGGCATTAAACCTTGGTGGCCATTTGAATAGGCCATTTCTCGAATAAACAAATCACCATGCACGGAATTGTTTTTGAAGTAGAAATCATCGAATTTCGATAAGGACAAGTCGGTTAACATCTAGTTTAATGCTCGCCATTAACAGTAATATGATTTCCTGCCTCATTTCGAAAGAAATAAAACCCGATCCGCCATATCTTTCAGTTTAAAAACAAGCAAAATCGGACTACAACCAAACCTACTTCCCAAATAAATTCCATCTGTTTTCTTTTTTTTTTTTTTTTTTTTTTTTTTTTTTTTCCATTTTTTTCTTTTTTTTTTTTTTTTTTTTGTTTGTTCATTTTCCAGTATGCAAATGAAGCACTAAGGAGTAAATCGGGATAACTGGAAGAAATGCCGAATCAATATGTCATTATGACATAGAGTGGAATGTGTACACATGTTTTGAAGAGAATTTAAACAAACAAAACTTCTACACTCACACATAAATAGCAAATGAAATAACTAAAATCATGAAATGAGCATTCGAAAACACGCATTGTCCCTCATTGACCTTGCAGCATGAAGTAAACAAATATGAAGACATCCACAAGGTAATCCTTAATAAACACACACACACAAAAACAATTTTCAAATTGAGGCAACAACAATTTGTTAAACTTTCGCACACAAGCATTCTTAAGGCCAATAAATACGAGAAAGTTATATTTGCATGCAGCTGAGATACTCTGTTTCAGGAGAATTAAACTCTCATTACTTCGTACTTATCAACCTCCAACTTATTTCTTTATGTTTAGCCTAGTAAATAATTTAACAAATATGTATCTATTTGGTCCTTTCTTAAATCTCTATAATTTTGAGTACATAATATTTAGCACCAAAAAAGAATACATATCTATTAGTAGTATTTTCCTAAATGCCAAATTTCCACCAAACCGGTGGAAAACCTCAAATGTAATACCGACGGACTGCATCGTTTCCTTCCACTTATGACGTTTACTATATTAAGTTAAAGAAAATCTCACCACTGTCCATGTGTCTGTACATAAGCGAACAGGTCCCTCAGTTTGTTAAGATAACGTTCTGAGTATGATCACAAAATTTTTCTATGCAAGTTTATTAAAATAACAAATAACAAGATATGATTGAAAAACGCATAGTTATGTTAATGGGCGCTGGACCGATTTCTATTATTCTTGACATTAAGCAACATTGGGATCAAGAAAACAAGTTCACTTAATTTTACTAAAAGACTCACATATTGACTGCTAAGTAAGCGGAACCGGGAAGTCGATAATCACAATATTACGTAAATAGGAGCTGAAGCAAAAGCTAAGACTACTGAACCAATTTCTGATGATGACTAATGTAAAAGTCCATATTTTAATCCGGAAAAATTTTTATTTAATAAAATATCTTAAAGAATGGGCGATATTTTACTCATGCATACAGTGTTCCAGTGTTCCTCAGTTCCATTTATTAGGTATTAAAGGTCAAAAAAAAATTTGTCCAATTTGGATCCTTTTGGCGGAGTCAAAGTTTCTTTCTAGGAGGCTTTCCTTCCAATATATTACTATGAGCAAATTATAGTAACACTTTGTTAATCATTTAAAAATTAAAAATTTTTTTTTTGTAAATCTATGTCGACCACCACAAAGTAATCCCCTTGACCCCAATACAACTCGAAGTGCTAGACGCCTCGATAATCGAAGAAAACTGTCAATATAATATTGTTTCAGACCTGTCCTGACTTGATTTTTTCGGCTCGCCTTTGCCACGATATTCGGCTGACTCATAATCTGTTGCCGGGTCGTAAGTATAGACCCAGGACTCATCGCCAGTAATAATACGTTTCATGACATCCTGAAAGTGGGAAAGCATTGTCTCACATGCGTTTACGCAACGCTGTTTTTCGAAAAAATTGAGTGGTTTTGAAGCCAATCATGCTTTTACTTTTCTAAGCTTAAATTTACGACATTTTTTCTTAGAGTCTTACTCGAAAACTCCCCGTAAATTCGCCACTGATTTGTAATACAATTGAACAAATCAGATATTTTTATCAAAACAAGCTACTGCAGACAACACCTCTGCAGCTTTCCTTCTTGTTTTGAAAAGTGAGATGTTTGTATGTTTTTTCTTTTAAAATTTGGTAAACAAACATATTTTATTTCTTTATATTTGGTAAATAAGTGTAAGCATCTCTGTAAGGCATCCTACAATAATAACACAATCACATTCACACTTATATATATCTAAAGATATATATAGGAAAAGTACAAACAATCAAAAGATGAATAGAACAAACACAGCATGACACCTGCACGCGCATAAAAACAACCTTTTGACACAAACAAACAAGATACATGAAAACCATCATGGGATCATCTTAGCAAACACAGCACGACATTTTCACACATAAAAACAACAACTGCCACCAACAACGTTAGTTAAAAAAGTATAAATAGATAGAAAAGTCAGCCAGCATTATCAGTGTGTATAAAGCAACGAAGAAACATCAACTTAAGTAAAATATTTCAAAAACTCATACACATCAACAGAGAAAAATGTCTGAAACCAAAACGGATAAAGTTGTCAGATCACTCGCCATGAGGAGCAAACTCACAAATTTCCCCTTGATCTTCGAAACACCCGATAAACTGCGAACGATGTCTCAAAATGAAAAATTTGTACGAAAGATTGCTTTTGACAATTGTATCGCAGCCGAAATGCGACGCCAAAAGAGTAAATTCTTCCAAGAGCAGCAAAAGTACATAGCCCAGCAACTAGAGGAGAATCCTGTGGAGATCGGTGGTCGCACACACTCGCCGACCAGCAGCCTTGAAGGGAAGCCTACCAAATCTGCGCATGCGGAGACGGAGACGGCTGACAAAGCCACAGCAGTACTAAGGGAGCAACGTGCCGCTTCTTGTCGGAAATCACGCATGAATAATAAGCTGAAAAAGGAAGCACTAAAGCATCGCAATGATTTTATAACTGCGAAATTGGCGGTTACACAGCACACACTCGCAAGTGTAACGTCGAAATTGCAAAAGGCGCAACTGTACCTGCTACGACGTGGCATTGATGAAGCGCAAATACAAAATATTCGCAGCATTTATGGCGTGGGTAATATTACACTAGATTGAGAAATGGAAAATAAATCAAATGACCGAAAATCAACGAATCAGTAATAACCTAAATCGGTGCGAAACGTTTCTGGACGTTAGTTTTAGTTTACTTTTTTCACTCATATATTATATACATATTTTGTAATTATTATTTTTAAACTTGTACTTTATGTTATGTATTTTAATTTCAAGATTTCATACATTTAAGAAAATGTAGCTTAATAAATTTAGAATTTATAACTCGACTTGATTTTCATTTGAAATACATACATCATTTAGAAAACCCGTTCTTCTAAGCGGTATTTACTCAAAATACCTAAGCGATGGTAAGGAAATAGCTCATAAAAGCTTTTCTTCTGAACATACAAATAGTAGGGACATACTCTGGATATAGAAGTGATAAATTATTTTACTTCTTGAAATTGATTAATCGGTCCTTATATATATTTTAGTGATATATATTTCGGAAGAACATCAATATCGATAAGCCATATTTGTAAACTCCGGAAGTGTCTATTCTGTTTAGATATATGTTATGTGAATATGCTGCTCCACAAATTTTACTCATTGAAATATTTCTATAACACATCCATGCGGTTTTCCAAGGCATTGCGTAATTTGATTGTTCCAATATTCAAAATCCAATCCTTACAGTGAGAAAGTTAACATAATGTATGCGAGCTTAAAACTAATTAGTGCAAATGTTCATTGTTGTTGTCATTACTATTTAAGAGAAAGAGAGAATTTAGTTTAAGAGAGATGCTAATTGATCATTGATAGTGATAATTGAAGTATGGAAATTATGAAATGAGAAAACAAGATACGAGAGGATAAGTAAGACACGTAAAGAAAGAATGAAGAGAGAAGTTTGTTGTAGGTAGTGAGAGTATTGGAGATCACATCTTTATGACCAAAAATTGCCCAAATCCAACTAAAACTGTTCTATCTTTTGATCGAAAATATCAGCGAAGCTATTATTATATATGCCCAAAAAATAAGGTGACATTGTATTTATTTTGAAAATTCTTTATTTATTCTTCCAAATCAATTTCATCCCCTTCAAAGTAATCCCTAATAGATGTAGTACATTATGCCAACGGATTTTCCAATCTTCGAAACACTGGTTGTAGTTACTTTTCGGGATGGCCTTCAGTTACATTTTCGCTGCGGCTTGAATCTCCTCTATCGTATAAAAACGGAGTCCTCGGAGCGGTCTTTTGAGCTTGGTGAACAGCCAGAAGGTGCACGGCACCAGATCAGGTGAATATGGTGATCGCGGAACGATATAGGAAGTCGTGAGCTGCTTGAGCCATATATAAAAGAATCGTTTCTGGCCACTCCCAAGAGAATGGCGATCAGAAAACTTTCCTCACTTGTGTGAACTTCTACACATGACTCCATCCTCCTATGATTTTGTATTATATATCATAAATGCTATAAGGCTACAAAAGGAGCTACAAAAGTATTCAGCAACGAAAACCAAAACAAGGATAAACAAGTAAGGAAGGGATAAGTTCGGGTATCACCCGAATAATCGTGATGTGATAATCGAGATTTCAGGCGTGGTTGTGAACAGATTTCACCCGTATTTGGTACATGTCACTAGGGTGTTAAGAAAATATTATATACCGATTTTCATTAGAACCGGTGGAGTACTTCCTGAGCTATGGTTTTTGGTCCATAAGTGGGCGACGCGACGCCCATTTTCAATTTAAAAAAAATGCCTGGATGCAGCTTCCTTCTGACATTTTTTCCGTAAAATTTAGTGCTTCTGACGTTTTTGTTAGTCGGTTAACGCACTTTTAGTGATTTTCAACATAACCTTTATATGGGAGGTGGGCGTGGTTATTATCCGATTTCTTCCATTTTTGAACTGTATATGGGAATGCCTAAAATAAACGACTATATACAGTTTGGTTGACATAGCTATAGTAGTTTTCGAGATATGTACAAAAACCTTAGTAGGGGGCGGGGCCACGCCCACTTTTCCAAAAAAATTACGTCCAAAAATGCCCCTCTATAATGCGATCCTTTGTGCCAAATTCTATTTTAATATCTTTATTTATGGCTTAGTTATGACATTTTATAGGTTTTCGGTTTCCGCCATTTTGTGGGCGTGGCAGTGGGCCGATTTTGCCCATCTTCGAACATAACCTTCTTATGGAGCCAAGAAATACGTGTACCAAGTGTCATCATGATATCTCAATTTTTACTCAAGTTACAGCTTGCGCGAGCGGACGGACGGACAGACGAACGGACGAACAGACAGACATCTGGATTTCAACTCTACTCGTCACCCTGATCACTTTGGTATATGTATCTGACTCTTTTAGTTTTAGGACTTACAAACAACCGTTATGTGAACAAAACTATAATACTCTAATTAGCAACTTTGTTGCGAGAGTATAAAAAGTGAGGGACTACTTAGTGCGTATATATACACACAGACAGGCAGACGGACATTGCTAAATCGACTCAGCTCCGCATACTGATCATTTATATATATACTTTATAGAGTCTTCCGCGCTTCCTTCTGGATGTTACAAACTTTGTGGCCGGTGTTGGTATGCAGCAGCGCAAGTAATGACGTAGCAGCGATGTTAGACGTTAGACTTAGAGGCAGCGATGTTAGTTGGCGGTGTTTTAGTTGACGTTTGCAACGATGAATGCTTCGGCACGGAAACGGACTGTGTAACTTCCACAAGGATTTCACAATGTCACTGTATTTGTATTATAATTAAAGTATTTGCGCCTCTATCATTTATTTATTTATTTTTACTTTTACCGGCCAAATTATTTACCATTATGATGACCGTTTACACTGTAATTTAAGGGATTTAACGGTTGTATGGATCACATAAAGCCAAGAAATATGAAGTTACATATGAATGTATATATAAATGCTCAAGATAACGAGGCGAGTTTAACTCCGCGATTTTAGTTTAGAAGAAATTAGTCGAATGGTTCATGAGATATAAGATTTGGTCGGTGCCACTTCCAATGTCCTGTGTTGTCTAATGCTTTTGGCGTATTTATTCAATGAGTTATCGCACTTTCAGTATCTTTCAATAGAACTGTTATATGGCGGCTGAGTAGAGTTATTGGCTATAGCGGTTTGAATGTTAGGTACATTAAGCCATTTTTAGGACGAGGACAGGACTTTAAAAAATGTCAGTCAACACATGTTCCTTTTTACCGCGACTGCCAGTACCAAAATATATATGCATCTTTATAGGTTTTCATTTAGTGGTATTTTGTGGGTATGACAGTGGTCCGATTACGTCCCATTATTGCACTATAAGTGCTATCTCAAGTTACAGACGGACTGAAAAAAGTTGTAAACATACAGATAAAGTTAATAAAGTCGTTTAAAAAGAGGATCGCGGTAATTCTATGGCTTGTTTTCAAATTTTTGGACTTAAATAGTACAAAAGACGTTAAAAGTAAAGACCGTTGTATTTTTCAACTATAAAATATAATGATCACTTGCTAGTGGATTGCCACCACAAATATATTTAGGGCATTACTGAATATTACATATTTGTTCGATATGTCCACAAATGATATAAATGTATTAGAAACACTGAATACTTTGGAGAAGTAAGCTAAGGTTTCAATTCAATGACTTCATTAATACCATTTTAAGTCATTTTAAACACATTAGTTAAAATAAATTTTTAAGAGAAGTTCAAAGTTAAAATATGCTCAAAAAGTTTTACAACTAATATATTCGTAATCCAAATTATTCCGTCTGAAAAGGTTCGTTTTGAACCTGATTTCAAAAAATCACTAAAAAAGCGAATCGAGATGGTCATTGGGGGATACTGCATACATTTATATGGAACACCTATGCGAAGAAATGAATATCTATAATTATTATTAGTCTGTATTAGGGTTCTGTAACTTATGTCGTATATATAAAATGTTTCATTGCTAGAAAATGTACTACTGTCTGAGACAAACTCTCAAATGACACCTTTGTTGTGAATTAGCTCTAGGTTGCATATGAAATTAAGTTTATCAGGCCGAACTACTTTGATACCCAGTTGATTTCAAATGTTGATGCGTTGCTACATGCGCCATCGCTTTGGCTTATCACTTGTGCCATTTGCCCGACATTGCTTTAGTTGTGTGGCCGTTTTGTTGTTGCACGTTTTAGGAACCCCATGAGGTTTGTTGAAAAATTGGCTAAAAGGTCCCAAAGCAAATGCAACTAACTACAACAATAGCAAAAGTGTAGAAAATCTAGCCCCACCAAAGACAAGGCAACGCAGCGGAATTGAAAGCAAGCAAGTATCTTCATGTGTTAAACACAATGCTCGCGACAGACTGCAAACGGCATCTGTCAAATATTAAAATACACACATTTTTATGGACGGACCTATTTTGACAGCTGCACGACTACACGACTGCTGGCCGACAGTTGTCGTTCTCGCTAACTTCAATTTAATCCTATATTTGCCAACGAGGGTATGACGACAGTAGAGTTGACAGTAGAATGGAAGATAGAGAGATGAGATAGAGTGGTGATGCCACTAATATGTAAAATGTAAAATGATTCACAGCTCTAACAAACCTGACGTTATTTTACAAATAAAAGCATAAAATAGCTCTATTGCATCATTTATAATAACAATTGATAATTTAAAACAAATAAATTTACCTATTTACTTATTTTTTGCTTAAAAATTTCACTTTAAACAAAATATTAAAATTTCATTGAATTGCAAGGTATTATTATGGCCACAACGAAATTGTGTACATGCAAAATGGACAACTGCGTTGTTTTGTGTACAAGCCGGCCATTGTTATGTTGCTGCCCTCTCACAAACGTCCATGTAGTAGGATACACAACACCATTTTCAGTTCACTGTCGCGCTGCTGCAGTCTGTCGTGAGCATTGTGTTCCGCACATCACTGTTAAGCGGCAGCGGCAAAGACAAGCAAGTGCGCGTCAACAGAAAAAGATCACAGCTGCGTTAGACAGGGGCAACAACGCATTCAAGGCATTGCTATACATGTATGTATGTATGTTTGTGTGTGTGAGTTGAGTGCGTTTCTCGGTATACGCACCAAAGCGCACTGGCC